TCAACTGTTGCACGATATCCGACTGTGAATCCACATTCTGACTGTAGAGACATTCATGAGAGTTTTTTGCTCCTACTGTGGAGTCTCACAACTGAGTCCCTACGTTTCATACCGATGGGGTTGGCAAGCCGAAAAGACGGATGAAATGAAGTTTGAAGTTTTTTGTCCTTGGAATGCTGCAGTGTGGGGGAAGTGCCTCAGAGATGACTTGATGTCAATCGCAATCTCCATAAACTTGCCAACAGAGAATCAAGAGTAGCCATCCATCTGGAGAGGCTAACGTTACCACACTTTGACGGAAATGCTACCATTAACTGTGCATAAACGACCATCGACCTTGACATGAAAAGTACCTTCATTTACAGAATTTGCTGAAGGGAGAAGCTCGACTGGCTAAGGATTTTGAGCCAGGTTAGGACAACTACAAACAGACATGAGAAAGTGGCACGCTCTGTCTTGCTCGATGAAGACCAGAGCGCTACTCCATTAGTAGCTCAAGGAACTTCAGCCGGCACACGCATTAGCTTAGAGGTAGTGTCCGGTGATTAGATTTATGATTACCTAATTCTTATGCATTACCAAAGCGCGCTTCCCATGCAAGTTATAGCCCGACGGCGAGTGCAGAATAGTGCTTCTGGAGCGAGGAAACAGCTTCAAAAATGTAAATGGACCACCCCTCGATTCAGTATCGTCCTTATCGAAGCAGAAAATCGCGCCGAGATACCCTGCAGCCAATGATAACGTCGCCGTTCATGTCCTGAGGCGATTTCTTGCTTCTGTGACGATACTGAAACGAGGGAGCGGGTTTGTTTGGACTTTTGCAGTTGTTTTCTTGCTCCAGAAGCAGTATCTTGCACTCGCATTTGGGCTATAACTTAACTGGAGGGCGCTTCGGTAATATGCTGAAATTAGGTGCACCAGTGACGTACCCAGGGGGCGGGAAAGTTACTTACATGGGTTACAAAAATGTGCAAATGACTTGACTTTGTTACTTGTAATTGATTGAAATAATTTTTAAGATTTTTTAAAAAATTTAGTTTAGCCTTACAAAAAAATTTTGTTCGGAATTTTTTAAAAATTTTGTTAAGGGCCCACGAAAATTTTGAGAAGCATACCAAAAATTTTTTCTCGGTGCGTTGCTGGTGCCGGCCATACTCTCTCCTGGAAGGAGCTATGGGCCCGCAAGAATTTCAAGAAACATACAAAAGTTTTTTTGGAGTGCGTGGCTTATGCCACTCACCTTCACTAAAAAAATTTTTGTCGCACCCCCCCCCCGAGCGGAAATCCTGGATACGCCACTGGTGTTCACTAATCTGCCAGGACACTGCCTTTAAGATAAGCTCTATCTTTTGTTCCGGGCATCACTTACCCTTTATGCCTTCAAGTGTTTTGAAGTTATTTGTGTTCTTTCTGTCATTGGTCTCGTACAGAGTGAGTCTCCTCCAAGTATTTAGGAGAAACTCAATGACGTTGATTATCAAATGCGCTTTTGACTTCGACAGGTTATGGCCCGTAGTAAAGCTCGATCAGTTTAGGTAAACTGAACTTAACCCATCAGTTGAGCTTAGCTGAGGTGAACTGATGACGCCCACCTTCCCATGCTATAAGCATGGTGAGTGAACCGATAGTTGACCATCCGTCCACCTGCTGCAGTCAACTCTTGCACATCAATTCACGTTCAGTTGAACTGAACGTGAACTGATGTTAGAGTAACCCAAATAGTGTGGAAAAGAGGAGACGCAGAGAAGAGTCCCGTAAGTTGCTCCTGAGTAACTTACCATACACAGCAATTTGCCTAACACTGCGGACAAAATCGGCGCAAGATTGCACAACCGAGCCCGGAAAGGAGAGGATCGATGAACAGCTGATTTTGGCGAGGAAGACAGAAAATAACAAATTCTTCTCTTTTTTATAAACTTTACTGATTTTTTTAGCTGTCCAAAACAACTCATTTGTTCATTTCATTAAATTCACGTTGCAACCATTTCGTTTTTTCGCAAAATTTTTGTAACGAAATGTGTTTTTATTTTTGCACTTGCTAGGTCCTTGATAGCGGTCATCATCGATTGGATAGTGGCCGCTTTCAAAGATTGCCAGGCGATGCAGCAAAAGTTTTGTCGCTAGACGGAGTCGAACCACGGCCGCGCCCGTGTAATGCCAATGTCTTACCCATTTGATCAAACCAAATCAAATAGCCACTTTTTCGAGAACGCACTTGATTATAATGTACAGGAAGCGATCCGCATCCAGATCGATAGCTCGCCGGATGCTAGACTGAGGCGCGATGAGATCACCCCCGGTCCGCGTTAAAGGAAGTGTCCGGGCAAAAACTCGATTTTGAGATTTTGTGCTTACTTGGGCCTATTCGCTACGCTGAATCCGAAAATGCACATTGTAGAGCGCGAAAAGGGCGAAAAACGGTTCTAGCGCAGGAGGGAAACAGCAGGTGGGCGGGGCCCTCCCCACTGCGAATTCACGTTCCCGGCTTCCGGAGCGACCTTCTCGCTTCCGGTCTCAAGTCAGTCATTCGCACTTGACCGGTGGCGATGTTAGGACGGCTAGCGGAATCGAGAAAATCGCTCCTGGAGCCGGGAGCGTGAAATCGCACTGGGGAAAGCCCCGCCCACCTGCTGATTTCCCTCCTGTGTTAGGGCCCTTTTTCGCCGTTTTCGCGCTTTCCAATGTGGATTTTCGGATTCAGCATGGCGAATAGGCCCGGGTAAGCACAAAATCTCAAAATCGAGTTTTTGCCCGAACACGCCTTTAAGAGAGATGCCCTGCTGGGGAGTTTACGATGGGCCTATGTCTCACTTCGATAATATCATTTTCAAGAAGGAGAGGTTTCAGCACACCTGTTTTCTTACTGATAGTTATGCTGTAAACAGCTATACTCCCGCAGAGCGATCATCCCGTTCCTTCCTCCCCCCCCCCTAGGGTATCTTATAACAAGCCGCATGTTTCTTCTGCGACTCTCTCTCTTGCACTCTTGGCTAGATGCGGCGAGCATCTGCCAGCTAGTTTGCATCGTAAGCTTGTGCAACAGCTGAAACTGTGCTTGAAGTGTATCCGAGAAGGGCGTCCCCAAGGCGATTGCGACCAAGTATCTTGCAAAGACTGTTGATGTCAACATCATCAACTGCTCTAAGTGAACTGAGAGCAAGAGAAAATCGTTTCCGAAAACATCATTAGTCGTGTAGTTAATTGTATTTAGTCTAGTCGTCAGAATCTCGTCGCAAAGATAGCCAGCTGCGATAGAAGATCATCTCAGGAGAGCCCTCGTATTTGGAAGATTTTGCATGGGATAGTAGATGAATGAGAAACTATTATCGCGATCGTCACTATCATAGCGCGAACATAGAGGAGTTCGTAGCATGCCAGATGCCGCATAACAATCGGGTTTACGATCCCCGTTTGACCCCTAGGCTTCGTACTAGTCGGAGGATTATCACATGTTTCTTCTTCGCCGGAACGTCGCACATCATAGCCAGGGCCCCCATCTTCTACGGGAACATCTGGACGTCGAAATCATCGAAGCCATAGGACTTTGAAACAGGAACACAAAAATTCTTCCCCTCACCCAAGTCAATCATCCATTGATACTTCACATGCTTACAGCCATTCACAGCAGCTTCGTTCTGCCCAGATTCATTGCACATTTTTACTATATTTACGCTGTATGTGTTGAATCCTTCTTTCTTGTCCACTGCTCCAACATGGCGGATGCTCGAAGCTATATTTAGGCCGGCTGTTTATACTCGTTGCTTCGTCGCCCGTTGACCCGTGGACGAATCCACACGACCCACTTTTGATATGCTGAAGTAACTTCAAAAAACGAGCGTGGAGCATAAGATCGGACTCCCGCAGGAATGCTTGAAACTTTGCACTCACAACTTACATTTTTGTAACCAAGAGAACGAGCCTAGAACGATTTCGTCGTTATTGCTGATGATTCAGGGTCAGCAGCATATCCATATCCATCATACGTTGACACATCTAGCTACAATCACAACTTCTGAACTAGTGAGATCGCAGTGGGAGACCATGTTAACATTTTGTTTGTCCTTTTCTTTTGCGTCTTCGATTTGGCCCTTGCGTTTTGTGTTCGGTGAATAAGATCTCTCCCTACAAAATTCAGTCTTCCTGGCTGAATAAGAGCACATGGGCAAAATCAAAGCTTTATGGTTTTTCTCGCCATCTGCCATCATTGTCTATGTCGAGCTGCTGTACGTCAGCGTCAGCAAGAAGATCAACGTTAACGTCAAGCCTTGGTGGTATGGATCAGGTGTCGTAACTACAAGCCGGTTGCTGTCAATCGTCAGCCCTGTTCAAAGCAAATTCCGATTTCTCGACCGCCAGAGACGCTCCAGAAGCCTGACCTAGAGCGCAGACACTCTTCATGCTTCCCTCCGAAGAAACCGGCTTTTATCACGTCAGCGGTAGTTCACGCTTACGAGTAATGTTACATGTGACTCGTACCCATATATTGTATCGGTTGACTCTTAATTCCTAGGTAATATAGCGGGGTCGAAATCTAGCTCGAGGCTCCTTTCTCCTTGCGCTTGCCCCGCTTAAAATTGCTGCCGCTCGCAGAGCGTCTCAAGCGGCCAGTCCTCGCCCTGTCCCACCCCCTTGCCGGCATCTTTAGATACCGCAAGCGGTTGGGTTCCACCAACGTACAAAAAAGGCATCGATCAGTCAGCGCTTCCTTAACTTAGGCAATAGAAAGAAAACGTGCATGGAGGACTGGCTTGGCAGCCGGGTACACCGTCGGCCTAACAGCTTGACATACATCGGTGGTGCATCTCAGGGGCTTGGTGGCTCCTATCATCTGTTCGGTTGTAATCTACCTCTGTGTGTGAGCTGCAAAGCTCCTACAGGGGTAGAATGGTGGGCATATCGTGTTGTATGTTTCCAACGTAGTCAAGTCTATAGAGGTCCATCTGTGTGAGGACGGGCACGATCCGCTAGAGCCCAAAAATTGGTGACAAGTCCTAGGTGTTATGGAGACAGTCAAGCGTCAGGCTACAAGACACGCTAGGTAAGCTGGTAGCTTAGAGGCCTCAGTGTGGTGCCATACAGCGTGGCAAGTGTAACAGCCTTCCTATACGGGTATTGTCTAAAAACGAAGTAACAACAGGAATGAGGAGGCCACAAGTTAGGTCCGACTGCGTACGACGGCCGCTTTGCCGCGCTCTGCGATCGTATTTTGTGTCCCACAGAAACTATCGATGTAAGTGGCACGGCGGGGAACTAGGGGCGGGGGACACGTACATGACTCTTCGCCATAAGCAAGATGCCGCCAAGTGCTGACTGCTAACTTGTCCGAAACGTACTTACTCGAGGACGACATTGTAGGATATCAACAACAACTCAAACGCAACACATTCGTTATAAGCGGTTTCATTTGTAGGTCTACAGCCATCATGATCGACAGCGGCGAATCATATGTTATAACCACAGTTCTAGTCTACTTCAGTATTGTATATCTTGTCGTATCATGTAAAGGAAAAAAGAAGGCTTGTAATGTAAAGAGATGAAGTTACACATTTAAGTAATCTCAATTAAGGAAATGCAACAGTCATCCGCTGGTTCAAGTGACAGTGGCGGCAGTTTAAAAAAGCCAAGAGCTCCCGAACAGAAAGGAATGGCGGGTGAGAACGGCTTCTGTTTTCTTATCTAAAACGATGCCAGGGTTCAAGGCACATTTGATCCGAATTATCAAACACTCGCAAACGTGCAAGACCCGTTTGCTGCTCCTGGCGGAATACCCGGAGCTCCGGGTGTCCCTGGTGCTGCGCCTCCTCAGCCTCCGAAACCACCCGCCGGAGGAGGAATGGCAGGTACCAACGACTGCTGCTTGCATTTTCTATGAAGTGCGTAAAAGATCTTAAGGAACGTTTGATCCAAACTATCAAACGCTCGCTAACATTCAAGGTGATGTGTTTGGGGCGGATAAAGCAGCAGGAGTAGGAGCAGCGGCTGCAGGAAAAGGAGATGTTCCTGCACCAGCTGCACCACTGCAAATAAAGCCGGGCACAGGTGGAGTAGCAGGTGAGTGCGTACTCACTTTTTACATTCCATTGTAAAAATGTAATCTTGTTCAGGAACATATGATCCTAATTATCAAACTCTGGCTGGGATGAATGCGGATGTTTTTGGAAAAGATAAAAAAGCCGCGTGAAAGACGATAAGGGACATTACACTGCCAGTAGGCTCCGCCTGTGAGAACATCTGACATCAGTCGTGCATCTTTTCCCACTCTCTATTAGATGTCTCTCAAGTTGAGCCTATTGCCGGTTTAGCGTCCTCTATCCGCACGACTATATCTTAAAAGTATACAATAAAGAACGTAAATTTTTTCTATAAAGTTTCCTTCCTGCGATGTTCTGTCAATTTGAATTTTGAAACCATGTCGATCCTGTGATGCAACATAGCTAATCGGATATCTAATTTTCTCTGAACTCGGAAAACCAAAGGGTAGCTTACGGTGAACCCAAACTAGGTAGTGCGGCTGTCGGAGAGGTGAGATGATTTGATGCCGAGCAATTTCAGCTTGCTGAATTAACGCAGTGGCAACGTTTGTTACTTATCTATCCTATCTGGCTAACAGTGGCAATCGAGTGGGAGGGGCGCCTCCCCCCCCCGGAGGATGGGTTGCGAAATTTTCGAAATTTACGTGGATTATGAAAATGTGCAAGTGACTTGTCTGTATTTGTAAACAGTTGAAATAATTTCTAAAATTTTTTCAAAAATCCATATAAGCCGCCACTCCCACTTTTTTAAAATTGCGGGGCATGGGCCCGCAAAAACTTTGAGGACCATCCCAAAAATTTTTTCAGAGTGCGTGGCTGACGTCAAGCACCATCATTTGAAGAAAATTTTTGCCCCTCCTCGCTGGATGGAAATCCTGCGACCAACGCTGGCTAATATGGGGTCACGTATGGCGCAAATTATTAGGGTGAACGGCAAAGAATGGGACAGCTTGCGAATATTTTTGGGAAAACATCGAAGTCCCCTCAAATCATGTCCCTCTCAGATTCGGCGCATTCGAGTTGCAGAGTTCGAGGGTACTAGCACGAACAGTACTCAAAATGTGACGTTGTCTGTTTCGTTTTTTATCATCGTCAGTCTGTTTGGAATAAGCATCACTTCTGTCATTAATTCGCGGTATTCATCGCTGAGGATGATCGCGACTTCACCCTGTCGGCTGCTATCTCCAATAGCAAAGGCTTCGCCGATGTCCTTGGCGTGAAAGATATCCTGGGGAGTGTTCGACGAACACTAACGGGAGAAGTAGGAAGAAAAAGGGAAACTCGCGTAAACACCCCATGTCTGTGTAACAACTGCTCAGATTATCGCCGGAAGTAGGCGGGCACCGCAAAATCCGCCTTGCTGACTTTTCGCACTCCGCTCGCAGATTTCTGGAAAATGGTGAACAAGTTTTTAGAGATCGTCTATTAATTTTTTCGCTCCGGGTTTTAGCGAATGTATTGCTGCATGTTAAGCAAAGCAAGAAACTAAAGAGCGACATTGCAAAAACACGCAACCGCTTTTCTAGTAATCAGCGAGCAAAGCGCGGGAAATCAGCCACCCATTTTTCCTGTATCCGCCTATCTCCGTCGATTTTGTAAGCAGGGGATACCTTGTTCTTTTGATTTCCGTTATTTACTCTTGCCAGTCTATTTAGATCTTACCTACGCACGTCTTACTTGTTTACTCCTATCTCTACTTCGTTGGACTTTTTCTGTAGATCAGTTGATGTTCAAGCCTTGCCATCAATTGATCTCATTGACGGCGCGCGCACTTGGCTCTATTTCGCAATGCATAAAGTTCTCACTCAATTAACTTGTGTTCTTGTTATTGTTCTGGTTTATGTTATTCTTTATGGTGTTTGGCCGATGAACGGCTTTGATTCTAGTTGTCCATTTTGGAGGGTGCGATTTCTACTGCACTATGCCTACTCGACATCGTCCCACTCCTGATTTAATCAAGTGCACCTCAAGTCATTGTTGCAGGACGCTGGTACAGGCAAGTGATTCTCTCCACTTTCGCTTGCGTTGCGGTTGCGCTATTTTCGGACAAATGATCCACGTCGCATTGAGGATATGTTCCACTTAGCCAACGTCGTCTCCATAAACGAGCAGCGTACATATGGATATACGGGCAGAAAAGAAGTTCGACAAGCGAAATTTCTTATGAAGGACAAGAATTACACTTTCATCACGGCATCAGGAGCCAAAAAGGCTTATGGCCCGTAGTAAACCTCGGTCACGGGAGATGATCTCCCCTGAGGCCCTCATATGATTTTCCGTGGTGTAAGTATGCAAGGTCACCCTACAGGTGAGCTTCAAATGAATCCCGGCAGGGAGATCAGCTCCCGACCGAGTCATCGGAGATGAGCCGGGCTACAACATAAGGTAAATACTGTGTTAAAGAGGAGAGTACAGAGAAAATCTCCGTAAGTTGCTCCCGAGTAACTTACGAAACATCGCAGCTGACGTTCTTTTGCGGTGCAAAACTCCCAAAACTGCACAATTTCGGGCGCCTTAGTGAGTGAGGATCGATGAACAGCTGATTGCGCGAAGAAATGGAAAAAAAGGTTTTTTTGCATTTTTCTTGCAGTTGTTGCTCTTTTTTCTCAAAGAATCGCTTCAGATAACAAGAAGATAAATTTACCTTTCTATCCATTTTTCGCTAAATGTATTTTTTCCTCGTATGATTGCCAAAACAATGTGTAAATGTTTTATCTTGTTATTCGCCAGGCGAAATCTCTGATAGCGGCCATCATCGATTTTTTCGACAGCGGCCGCTGTCAAAGATCGCCAGGCCAAGTAGCAAAAACGGTGTCGCTAGCCGCACTCGTACCACGGCACTCCCGCTTGAAATGCATTAGTCTTATCCATTTGACTATTAATGCACAAATGGCAAAAACGTTCCAATTTTGAAAACGCGAATGTCCAGTCAGTGATCTGCTCCAAATCAATCGCTCCCCTGGCAATGTGCTGAGGCGCGATGAGATCAACCCCGGTCCGGTTCAAGAGAGATGCCCTGATGGGGGTTTACTACAGGCCTATGTGTTCTTCAAGAAGCACTGTTCGTATAACATACGCGATCTTCTGAAGCATGATGGCAGTCCCTCCTTATGCGATACTACGAGAAAAGCTGCCTGACAATGGATCATGTATTTGTTAGTTAATAAAGGAGTACGATTTGCAGCTAGAAATTCCTGGAGCGACATTAAGATAGAAAAGAAGAGGGAAAAAACAACTCTTTATCTACCAGAAGGTTTCGCACCCACAAACACGTAGTCAAATTCGCCATACGACGACGGCATACGTCTACAAAAGATTGCCAAAAATTTGCTCCACAATGAAAGAGTTACAGAAGCCGCAAAATTCATTTTTGCCGGTCCGAATGATAAGGAGATACCGCCAGAGGGCGAGTGGATGCGAGTGATGGCCAGTACAACATAGCACCTGGTGGACTGCAAAACCTCGTGGCGAACGGGAATGGGAGTCCACTAGAATGGAAACGAGATCGAGATTAGCACACTTCGCGAAACATCCTACGCCAGACGTGGAAACATAGCCACAAAGGTCTCGCAAGCATCGACCAAACCCGAACCCGCACTACCGGTCGTAATAAAGCCTCGTGCTAATGCATGCAGTGGTTACCCACAGCGGCTATACATAACTTTACGAACGCCTTGGTCTAATACTTCGAGGGACTTATTAGCATAGAGCCCAGAACGAAAGTTGAGAAAACCAGTTAAACACGACGTTGTACGACAATCACAGTCGTTAGACGGGTTATCACGAACGAAGAGGATTCAAACGTGGGATAATCATGCGGACGAGAAAGAAGAGCTTTCTAGATACGGACGCAGCTATGGGTTCAGTCGCGGAGGACCAAGACATGGACACCATCACACACCTTACGGAACAGTGTCATGACGTCGCTTGTTCTAGGAGGGGGAGTGTAACACCTAAGGTGGCATTTTGTTCTTTTGTTGTGTTTAATTTTTTACTCTTGCCAGTTTAGTTACATCCCACCTATGCGCGTCATACTTGTTTGTTCTTAGCTTTATTCTCTACTTTATTGTTATTCAGTAGATTAGTCAATGTTGACCCTTGCCATCATTTGATCCCTTTGATTGCGCCCGCATTTGGTGCTATCTCGCTAATTTGCACGTTCTCACTTAATTAAGTTGTCTTGTTATTGTTCTAATTCTGTTCTATTTGTTTGGCCGATAAACGGCTTTACTTCTGCTTGTTCATTTTGAGAAACTGTGGTCTCTGACGCAGTATAGCTACTTGACATTTTGCTCTCCTGTTTCAATCACATTCACCTCAAGTCATTATTGCAGGACGCTAAATCAAGAAAGTGCTTCGCTCCACTTTAGCTTGCGTTGAAGTTGCGCTATTTTTGGACAAATGACCCACGTCGCATTGAGGATACGTTCTACTTAGCTAATGACGTCTTCATAACGAGCGGCAGTGCTGTCTTATAAGCAACGCCATCGCAAAAGCAACTGGCAGCAAACCGTCGAAAGGAAGAAAGGATGCTCGTTTTTTGGGTTGTCCAAGACCTACGGAAACTTCGAAGTGGCAAACCACAGAGACACATCCTGAAAGGCCGAGAGTGCGTCGAGACCGGCCTACAGCGAATCCTCGAGCTAGCCCACCATCACAGCCGCTTTATCGCCGCCATGTATTCGCGGCCGTCGACTTATTCCGCGATTACGATCGTCGCCCCGTCTCCGCTTTACCACCGTCCGGATGAGCCGTACAGCTGTCATAGACATTTTAAATTATGCTCTTTTTACTACCTAGCTCTCACATTGTATGTACAAGAAAATCTCACCTGGGTAGCATCCCCTTTCGGCTCAGCTTCTTTAGCGGATAATAAGGTGATGTCCCCATTGTTAATGACAGTTTGTATTGATGCGGTAAAGAAGATATGCCGTAAGCCATATCCAGCCTTCACATCACATTATATAAGCAATTTTTTTAAATTTGAGAAATGCTTGCATTTTAATCTTTCTGATCACGCATTACTGCCAGAACTATTACCCGAAATGCAATAAATTTCAAGCTTATAACCATTTCAAAAAGCAACGAATAAGAGATGCACTCAAATTCTCATTATTGAGCGACGTAGTACTCAGGCATAGTATTGAAA